GCCCACATGCTCATTGGCCGAACTAATGCAGTGGAGGAGTCAGATCATGATCATTCAAAGAAACCGTCATCCATGAAAGGAAAGAGCATCGGAGCCACGCAAACTGCCGACACTGTGAATCAGCGTCGCTGTCAGCCAGAGGGACATCGTGGAAGCCGCCATGCCTTCTGTGGCTTTCTGCCTCAGGGTTGGTGGCCCTGTGTGGTCCTGTGGGATCTGGTACTACTTCTGTCGTGCCGCTTATGGCTGAGAGCCCTTGTTCCCAGCTAGCTGTGAGCTCAGAGAGCAGAGACGGTGCCCATCTTTGTGTCCCAGCAGCAGGCAGTGCCCAGGAGGCAATGTTGGGCTCCTGGACATGGATTTAACTCCTGCTTTGGTCACTTCCTGACTCTGTAACTTCAGGCAGTTAACTTCTCCCCACTCAGCGTCCTCCTGTGTAAAGGGAAGAAGACATTGAAGCATACTCCTCAAGGTTTACATAAACTAAATGAGGTTATTTATTATAATACCTATATTAAACAGAAAACTCCTGGTCCACAGTGAGCACTCAAATGTTCACTTCTTTGTGGATAAGATGGCATTTGAGGTTGGGCTGGATGGAATTGGACAAGACAAAGTAGAGAAAGGGAGCCAAGATGACAGCGTGAGTAGAGCAGCAGAAATCTCCTCCCAAAACCACATGTATTTTTGAAAATACAGCAAAGACAACTCTTCCTAAAAGAGAGACCAGAAGACACAGGACAACATCCAGACCACATCCACACCTGCGAGAACCCAGCGCCTCGCGAAGGGGGTAAGATACAAGCCCCGGCCCGGCGGGTCCCGAGCACTCCTCCCCCCAGCTCCTGGCGGGAGGAGAGGAGTCGGAGTGGGAGGGAGAGGGAGCCCAGGACTGCTAAACACCCAGCCCCAGCCATCCGGACCAGAGCGCAGACACACAGCGCGTGCGTGGGGTGCTGGAAACTAGGGAAGCAGGACAGTAAGACCTGTGAGCGGGTCCCTGCAGCCGGCGCCCCGGGGACAGAGAAAAGTGAATGCTTTTTGGAAATCTTAAAGGGACAGGGACCCCACAGCGGGACAGAAGCATCCTGGGACACTTAGTCCAGCAGCAGGGAACTCCGGGCACCCTAAACCTCTGGATAGCAGGGCAACTCAGAGGCCCCTCATGGAGATAAGCAGCCTCCCAGCCGTTCCCCCTCCAATGCGGCTCCACCATATCGGAGCAGGAGCCCAAGGCAGGTCACGCTCACAGCAACAGTGGAGATAAACTCCATAGCAGCCGGGCAAGAATCAGAAGCCCCGTCTACACACAGCTGCCCAGCACAAGCCACTAGAGGTCACTGTTCTCCCAGGAGAGGAAGGCCACAAACCAACAAGAAGGGAAGTTCTTCCAGCTGTCACTCATGCCAGCTCTGCAAACTATCTCTATCGCCATGAAAAGGCAAAATCTGAGGCAGGCAAAGATTACAGAGACAACACCTGAGAAGGAGACAGATCTAACCAGTCTTCCTGAAAAAGAATTCAAAATAAAAATAATAAACATGCTGACGGAGATGCAGAGAAATATACAAGAGCTAAGGGATGAAGTCCGGAGGAAGATTACAGATGTCCAGAGGTAGATTACAGAAGTGAAACAAACTCTGGAAGGATTTATAAGCAGAATGGATAAGATGCAAGAGGCCATTGATGGAATAGAAACCAGAGAACAGGAACACATAGAAGCTGACACAAAGAGAGATAAAAGGATCTCCAGGAATGAAACAATATTAAGAGAACTGTGTGACCAATCCAAAAGGAACAATATCTGTATTATAGGGGTACCAGAAGAAGAAGAGAGAGAAAAAGGGATAGAAAGTCTCTTTGATGAAATAATCGCTGAAAACTTCCCCAAACTGTGGGAGGAAATAATCGAACATACCATGGAAATACACAGAACTCCCAACAGAAAGGACCCAAGGAGGACAACACCAAGACACATAATAATTAAAATGGCAAAGATCAAGGGCAAGGACAGAGTTTTAAAGGCAGCTAGAGAGAAAAAGGTCACCTACAAAGGAAAACCCATCAGGCTATCAGACTTCCCAACAGAAACCTTACAGGCCAGAAGAGAATGGCATGATATATTTAATGCAATGAAACAGAAGGGCCTTGAACCAAGGATACTGTATCCAGCAT